CTTGGTGGGCCTCCATGCATCATTGATTTTTATAAATTCGATTAGTTCCGTCACATTTGTTCTCTTATATGAATGGAAATGACAATATATCTTCACCTTAATGCAATAACTGGTAAACTCCCATTACTTAACCTTTTAATGCACTATGTTGACAATATGCTGAACATTTTACAAACTTATAAAACAATCTCAGCTTTAAAGGCCCATTATGTCTCAGAAATTAAAAATATCTTAATTCTTCAGAAAGGTCAATCATGTTATAGATAATGTCGTCTTAAATAATGAATTTAGAGCATTTTAGATGTCAAACAACTGAAAAAAATAGCCCTGAACATGCAATATCTCATAAAGATAGCAACATGTAAACAAAGAAGTATTTTGTATCCATACAAAATATTTAATTACTATAATTTTAACGACTGCCAAAGAAGAAAAGTTTTTGAGGAATAGAAATGACAGAATTTTTTGGGGCTTTAATGGACCTTTAAGGTCTCTGTGCTTAAAAGTCCAAGGCTTCCAAGATTAAACCTTCCAAGGCCTCCAAGATTAAACCAATCAACTACTAATTTTGTATATGAAACATTTTCAGCCTATTTTCTTTCCATATTGTTACTTTGAAATAAAAGTGCCGTTTGGCCTGGCCTGTTGCCTTTGACTTACCATTCTTGCCAAAGTTACCTCCCTTTATTTCAGAAATAACTTGAAAATAAAGTTTTATATTTACAAAAAATAAACCATATCTCATCAAAATTCAATAAACGTACAAGAATAAAAAACATAGCCATACCTAAATGCAGATGAATATACACGAAACTCTTAACTCATTTACCAATACCTCGAGCCATTTCGAAAAATGAAAACAAATATTCATGCATACAAAATTACCCATGATATGTTTTTCCCCCTAATTTTTCTACAATGGCTATCTCCTTTGAAAAGCCTTACTTATATCTAATTTAAAGTTTCCCTACCACGAAACCTTGGCATAAAAACTTTAATGACATCTTATAGTTTAAGATACTCCCCTTGTTCCACGTTTTTTTGTGATCAAACTTCAAAAAAAGTTTATTTATAAAAATGTTGTTGTTTTTTCAATTATAAAAAACAAACACTCCTCCTACATCTCATAAACTGTTTTTAACATCATTAAAATTTTAGCATGCCGAAAAGAAGCTCAAAAATTTATTAAGTTTTTTTCTAAACAAAATCTTGTTCACAGTTTATGACAAGATGAATGATTTTCATTTTTTTAAACATTTTTATTTAAATTGAAATGTTTATCACAGACGCAATATCCCATTATCAAAAATCATCATTATATATGGGAACATCCTCTTCCACGATGTCACCATCTTCCTCCTCGTGACCTGCCGACCCTGGCCGGCATTTATTGTGTTACTAAGTGATATATCCAACGCTTGATGAACAGCTTGTATTGTTCGCATATTCACATAGTAAGACATGTTCACACCTAACATCTACCCTTCATCTCATCTATAGCATTATCACACCGTATTACCGGCGGCAGTGATGGCAGATCACTGCAGTGATGGCAGATATCTGAAAATTACCGATCGGTACAGGTAGGTTATAAATTTGGTTGGTTTAATTATATTAAACAAATACGGCCCATATCATTGCTATAAAACTATTGTCCATTGAATGGAGGTACTGTAAGGTAATTTTGGACTCGTTTTTTCCTGTTTTAATACTATTTTGAGCAGGTTAAAAGTGACAGCCTCGGAAAAATCCGTGAAATTGTCTGTTTTCTGTTCAAAATATCTCAAGTTTTAAGTAAATGGCAGGATTTCCTGTTATTAATATAGACGTTCATCCATTGGGGTCACGCAAGCCAAATATCTACCCCGTGAGTCTTTTCTTGAAAGTTTTACAGACGCTCAATCTTGTCCGGTCGAAGAAAAAATGCTGCCGTTGTAGGCAGATACATATTATAAATGCTGCCGTCGATGGCAGAAATACCATGAAAGTGGCTAACATTCTGACAGAAAATCAAGTTCAATCATTTATCAATTCCTCTTTTCTTTGCGTCCTTTTAGTCGGAATTGAGACGTTAAACTATCATTTCTACTATTTTCTCACGATGGAAAAGTTATTAATGCGGTATATGTGCATCGAAAAAAGCTTTTTAGCAACATGCAGTTACAATACAAAAAGTGATGATTTAGTACGACAAAATTGCACTATAAATAGAGAAATGAACATGAAAAACTTCATGTTTCTATATTCATGCATGTGTGCTTGATCTGTTGTGTCTGTCAGTTACATGCATACAATACTATATGTATCTTAAGTTTAGCAGCGCACTCCCTTTTTAAGACATAAGCCAATTGCATATTACAGCAAGTAACTTCTGTAAGTGGATATTCATTTGCTAGCATATGACATTATTTTCTCGAGGTAATAATGTTCATCGCTTTATGACAAATAAAGGCTGAAATTTACTTAATCTGCGCAGAATATAAGTTATTAAATTGATGTAATAAAGGGGAGACTATTAACCTCGCAACTGGCATCAGTGTATCATAAAACAATATATGTAAATGTAAATGGGAAGGTTAATATTATTGACAGTTCAAATATTTTCCTATATTATCAAGTTCTTGAAAAACACGACAACGTGGATTCATTTCTTTAAATTTCATGTTTGTAATAGCGTTGTAGTTTGCCTTTGAATTACATTTACTATGCTAAACTATTAACAACAGTTCTAACATCACGTGCTCCCATTTAAATATATATTTTTTCATTCATTTTGGTTGTAACCATGACAACTTATAAAGATGAACCTTTCGATGATTCATATTACAAGATGAAAATAAATCCTGTATTTATAGGAGAAAACTAGAATTTTTTGATTTGTTATATTATACTTTTCTCTTTTTTGACCTTCAACTCATAAGACTTCTCCTATAATTTTGTATATTGCCTGAATTAAGAATGAAAGTAGTCCGGCAAGACACCATTCAAAATACGGAAAAATATGTTTTTCTGCAGTGAAAAATAAATTTTCAGTGAGGCAATTGCTGCAATACTGTGTACATCTTGTGCATTCAAATGTTTCCTCGCTGGAATGTTTTCTTAGATGTCTTTCCAGTAAGACTTTGGACTTGTAACCTCTGCCACAAATGTCACAGTCAAATATCTCACTATTAACAGTCTCCTTTAAAGATACATCAGGAAACGAGCCAACTAATGGAGCCATTATCTCGTCTTAATCATCGAAAGGTTCATCTTTATAAGTTGTCATGGTTACAGCCAAAATGAATGAAAAAATATATATTTAAATGGGAGCACGTGATGTTAGAACTGTTGTTAATAGTTTAGCATAGTAAATGTAATTCAAAGGCAAACCACAACGCTATTACAAACATGAAATTTAAAGAAATGAATCCACGTTGTCGTGTTTTTCAAGAACTTGATAATATAGGAAAATATTTGAACTGCCAATAATATTAACCTTCCCATTTACATTTACATATATTGTTTTATGATACACTGATGCCAGTTGCGAGGTTAATAGTCTCCCCTTTATTACATCAATTTAATAACTTATAATCTGCGCCGATTAAGTAAATTTCAGCCTTTATTTGTCATAAAGCGATGAACATTATTACCTCGAGAAAATAATGTCATATGCTAGCAAATGAATATCCACTTACAGAAGTTACTTGCTGTAATATGCAATTGGCTTATGTCTTAAAAAGGGAGTGCGCTGCTAAACTTAAGATACATATAGTATTGTATGCATGTAACTGACAGACACAACAGATCAAGCACACATGCATGAATATAGAAACATGAAGTTTTTCATGTTCATTTCTCTATTTATAGTGCAATTTTGTCGTTCTTAATCATCACTTTTTGTATTGTAACTGCATGTTGCTAAAAAGCTTTTTTCGATGCACATATACCGCATTAATAACTTTTCCATCGTGAGAAAATAGTAGAAATGATAGTTTAACGTCTCAATTCCGACTAAAAGGACGCAAAGAAAAGAGGAATTGATAAATGATTGAACTTGATTTTCTGTCAGAATGTTAGCCACTTTCATGGTATTTCTGCCATCGACGGCAGCATTTATAATATGTATCTGCCTACAACGGCAGCATTTTTTCTTTCGACCGGACAAGATTGAGCGTCTGTAAAACTTTCAAGAAAAGACTCACGGGGTAGATATTTGGCTTGCGTGACCCCAATGGATGAACGTCTATATTAATAACAGGAAATCCTGCCATTTACTTAAAACTTGAGATATTTTGAACAGAAAACAGACAATTTCACGGATTTTTCCGAGGCTGTCACTTTTAACCTGCTCAAAATAGTATTAAAACAGGAAAAAACGAGTCCAAAATTACCTTACAGTACCTCCATTCAATGGACAATAGTTTTATAGCAATGATATGGGCCGTATTTGTTTAATATAATTAAACCAACCAAATTTATAACCTACCTGTACCGATCGGTAATTTTCAGATATCTGCCATCACTGCAGTGATATGCCATCACTGCCGCCGGTAATACGGTGTGATTATATGCCTAGAAAAATATAGAAACCATGGCATGTTTATAACAGAAATTTAAAAAAATCTTCATAAATGTTAATTTTTAATTGGCAAAAGTTGTATCTCTGCATTTGTTAGAAATAAATTATTATTTTGTTTTTCTGTCTTTTTTTTACTCAGATTTCAACACATTCTTAAAAGCATATGTCAGTTGTTGCTTAAAATAACCGACTTTTCTGTATAACTAGTAATCAAGAATTTCTCATGACTTGATTTCTCAATCAGTGGTAAGAAACTAATGACTATTGGAATCAATGTCTAAGGTCATTTGTTATAGAGTAATTGCCTCTTGTCAGAGGATCTAACCATTGACTCCCAGATGACCAATCCGATGCTCTACCTAATTGATTTAGTTTCGATAGGAAACAATTTCATCATATTTTAATAATTCAAAATACTTCAAACATACATCATAGATCATAATTTGCAAATAAGCTGACTTGTACAGTAAAATACATAAGCCTTCCAGCGCTCTTTCCTGGCATAATGTTCAATAATTAAGCCATAAACATCGCCTATTCTGACAGCACTGTCAAGATCTGGTTCCTCTAGAAGTACCTGACACTGTTTGATAGCCTCCTCTGAATCTTCATCATATATCCTGATTTATATAAAATATTGGTGTCACAAATGTTGAAATATATCTGCCATAAACACAATGACAATGTGCACATGAAAGGGACATAACTTTACTTTAAGTAGCAATAGAATAAAATAGTTTACTGCAAAATCATTATTAATCGCGGAGAACTAATTTTAGTAGTTTTTGTGGATAGGTCAATTTAAGAATTTTAAGATCCAACAAAATTTCATTTTGTCTGCTGAAAGAATATTTTGCATTACATTATTAACATTTCTTTTCAGAAAAATAAACAGTCCATGAATTTAAGAACTCACGAAAATGTTTTTTGTGACAAAACCATGAGATTTCATGCCTATGAAATTAAGTGAATTCACAATATGTCGAAATAGAAGCTAACATAACTGGACGGAAAATATTTGACTCCTAATGCCTCTGAATCATAAAAAAAAAATGAACAGAAATTGTCAAAAACCTATCTGCATGTTCTTTACTGACATACCTTCTGGCATTCACAAGTTTCTTTATTAGTGTGATTTTATTCTTTAGTTGACCTAATCTCTCTTCTTGTAGAGCTTCGTCTGTCATCTTGGCCTTGCTAAGACATTTAAACACCTCGCCCAGTGCACCAAGTGCCTTGTCATAATTTTGATACTCATCGATTTCCACCTGAGCACAGGCATCATAGAATGATGCCAGAGCGTCTAATGCCCGACCTTTGGTGTAGAAACCTATGATATTTTTCATGACCTCGGGATCTTTCCTCTAATCTAGAGATTGTAGGTAATTTGCAGCAATGACGTAGATCTCTTTTGGTCTGGACACACCAGCAAAGAAGATGATTTTCTCAGTATCACCATATTTCAATAATGCCTTCATTGCCTGATATAAAACAGCAAGAATATATATATATATATATATATACAATTAACAAAAGAAAAACACATTTTTATTCAATTCAAAGACAATTTTGGTGTATTTGCAAGTATCATAAACAGGTTATGAGATAGATTTAATTTAATAAATAATGAACTTCATGAAAATATCAATAAAACCAATTTGCATTTCCATGCAAAGCAATGATTTTTGTCCTTGAAAGTAACTGAACTCTGCATCATTATTATTTAAATGTTCTTCAATCATCTTCCTTTTTTTAAATCAAATCAATTGTACACTCTATGGTTCACAAGCTGGCTATGAACAAAGCGTCTAATACATAACAATTTAAATTCAGTTCAAAACAACTTCAAATTCACCGGTAAGATTAATCACACAGGTTGTCACTAAACAGTTTCCAATAAGATATGCCAAAGTATTTCAAACACTAAATAAGAGTGTAACCTGAAAGACTTTATATAAACATTTAACACTACCTTCATCTTATTTCCGGCTTGTGTGAACTTCTTGGTGGCTAGATGATACTGTCCCTGGTGCATGCAAACTTCTGCAATAGCCTCCAGTATCTTCACCCTCTCCAAAGTATACTACTTTGCTTTGTTCTACGTACAGTCTAAATGTTGTTCGGTGTAAGAAAACATACATATAAAACTTGGAGAAGATAGAAGCAAGGAGATAGTAGTAGAGTTATGAAGGTTGTAATGATTGTGTTGCCGAAAAGGCAAATTTCTCATATTGAATAATAATTATAGTGAGGAAATACATAAAGACCGGCCAAACATTTTTACCGATGCTAAGAAGATCAACAGCCTTATCAAACTGTTCATTTTCGAGGAAGAAGTCTGCACATCTCTGTAACAACTCAGGGTCAGCTCTCTCGTCAAGGTCACCAGATATCATCTGTAGAGCACCAAACTGCTTAGCACGGAACGACAGGTCCAAGGCTCGTGAGAAATAACCAGCCTGAAAATATGTTAATTTTGGATCATGAGAAATTACCTGCCTAAATTTTTATATCATACATTTATTGTCAAGACTATTTAAAGATTTGTGTTTTGTTTGTTGGATTTTAATATAGCCACCAACAAAAATATGACTGATAAATATTTTTGAATTTACTAAGTGAATATATAAAATAATCGGCATTAAGACATACAGCAAATTCATATGAAAGGAAGATATATATTTTCCCATTTTTTGTACATTGAAAGAAATGCACAATGGCAACAAGTTATAATAACATATAAAATTATTTAAGAATTAGGAATGTGAGAATTACAAATCCTACAGAAAATTTTGCTTAAAAACTTAAGAGATATTTTCACTAGCATGTCATACGCATCATGACCTCTTCTTTTGAAATTGGTGAGAGGTAGGGAGAGGAGCCTGTTACAGTTACAAGAGACACCAGTACTCTAAAGATTAAATGTAAACAATGAAACTTTATCTAAGTGGCTATATCTAACAATTTTCTAGATGTTGCTGGTTTCGATATATCTAGATTAAGATCTCCTGTAACAACTATGTTTTTAATGTCAGTATCAAAGGTAATGTCAATTGAACGTTCAATATTTGATAACACTTGGAAGGTGAATTTAGAGGTCGATAATTAGTACCAATGAGAAATTTTGTATGATGAATCCTTAGTTCTGCCCAAACACATTCAACACCACTTATCTCAAGGTCTTGCCTTGTTATGGCTGGAATATTTCTTTTTACATACACCAGCTTTCCACCGTGATTATCAACAACCTGTCTTTTTTGAAAGGTGAAGAAAATTTTTCAAAAGAGATTGAATCAGATTCTATATTGTTGCTAAGCCACGTTTCTGTAAAGGAAATGATGTCGAAGTGCTGTAATTCACGTTGTAAAATGTCTCTATTGTGGGGAAAACTCTGTAGGTTATAATGAACAAAAGATAATGAATTTTTGAAGCTTTCTAAGATATCATTTACACTAGAAGATAAAGAATAAGAAAATTCAGAGCTATTTGAGTCGGGTCCGGGATTTGTATGAATATCACCTGATCTTTGCAGAAGAACATATGCCCAAAGTTCAAAAGACAGGAAAACAATAACACCAAAAGAAATGTTATGGAACCAGTAAGATCCTAACCTCACTCTGTGTGTTATTTGACTATCAATGATAATTATGTTACTCCAGGACTATAGATTTTGTAGGGTGAAGTACTCCGTAGATAAAAGTGACAAAGATAGAGAAAGAAGAGGATAAGGGACATATAATAAAGAATTTAATATATATACAATATCAGTAATAGGAAAACATAAATGCATTGTCCTATTATTCAAGATGTTCACGACAATATTAATTTTATACGAATCAAAAATTAATTTAACTATATTGGTACATAAATTATAATTAATTTCGATAAGGAATTATGTATTGACCAATTTATGTGACACTTGAGGATACGCAGGTAATATAATAGAAATTTACTATTATGACAGTTAAGAATGCACAGGCTATATATACACATTGTTTTGGCCGAAGATAAGTCACCTGTAAAATTTCAAATAAACACATGCGTTATGAATGGAGTTGCAGGGCTTTTACTACGCTTTCACACGCTATGAATGAAATTTGTGTACTCGATTACTACTTTGTTTTCACGTGTGCTTCAATAAAAGCTTTTTTTATTACTTAGGAAGATTCCGTTGGCGACCTTGATGATTACCTGATAATATAAGTAGCGGTATTAATTTATTACAAACATTTATTACCAAAATGTTATGAGCAGGATATTGTTTAGTCAGAATACTGAATGAGTTTCAGGAGGCAATATTTACTTTTAGGTTTGTTGCAGGCTTCAACAGCTTTCATTTGTGATTTACATTTTATACGTTTCGATTAATATCATACATACCCATTCCCCCCCCCCCCCTTTATACTGTCCCCGTTTCAGCTTACGGAATGTTGGTGGTTCCACTCAGGTGCTCGTTCGTGCCTGAAATATTGCACGGAGCGGCACTTGAGGTATTCCTGCACCAGTAAAGCTGGAACGTAAAACAAAACAAACAAATAAAACTATTTTTAGAAGTACCTAAGGTAGGAAACATTAGACTTTTCATACAAGAATTCGAAATTTCTTTATATCATTTTGTGCATTTTTTTCCAAGAAGTGTTCGCGTATGTTGCCAAAAATTCAGACCCTGTAAATACGGAACAATGCTTTTGTATAATTGTAGCGGATTTATTGTGTGTAAGTTCTGCTGTTGTTGAAAGTCGACGGGTGGATATGCCTTCACTTTTGAGTAACCAATTTTATTTTTTAGTATACAAATCAAGGAATTTCAATCAAACTGTATCAAAAAATCATAAAAAATACTTGAATATATTGTCGGGGTTTTGAAAATTAGATGCTTTGTTTGAATTTTTTTTTGAGGTGGGGATATTTTGTTCAATATATAGACATGCTCTTCAAGGGCAACTCCTCCTAGATCTCCAAAGCGATTTAGCCTACCCCCCCCCCCCCCACACACACACCCAAATCTTCAGATGCCCTAAGGTGAATCGTAAGGTGCTAAGTTATCAGTAGTAAAGACTCTAGTTTCGTTACATTTCTTATCACATTTTTTATTTAAAAGAATGATTTATGATAGATTTAATCATGGTATGTTTTTATAACATAAATTTTAAAAGGACTTTTACTGTAATACTATCTTAATGACTAGCTAATTTCATACTTATTATACATACTGCATGCAAGATATTCTGCAACAGGAAGAGAAATATATGTTACAGTGATGCAATTTTTGCGCAGAATTAAAAATTAAGTTTAAGAACTCTGAAAGTTAATAAGAAGATGTAGTACTTACTTGAGCATCATAATGAATTAATTTCATATCTTCATTTTAATACTGTCTCCTTTGTAGTGAGAATGCATTTTAGACTATGAGAAAATATCCATACTGTAGGTGTTTGTTTCGTCATTGAAATTTAAATTACTATCAATGAATTGTTTAGACATTTTTTCAGGTTAATAGTTTTATGGAATATACTTTTAAAATAAAGACGATATTCACATACCCTGCAAAATACATATAAAACATAAATAACCTTATTAGAAATGACACTAACTTTACACAATTACTGTATGTACATTTAGAATATAACCACTCAGACTACTTTTAAATATTAACTATATTGTTTGGTCAGCAATATGAAGGACGCTGTTGTTAAGGTTCATGATCCTAGCTATTCTACATTTCTCCTTTTCTTTGTTGTTTATAGAACTGGTATGTGTACTCCTCAAATTGATGTATGTTGTCATTTAATAAATCGCCTCCTGTTTTGCGTTTTATGTACAATACATACACTTGTTGGAGAAACAACTCTGACACTAAGTCACATATGTTTTGCATATTTTTAATTGTCTTCCCGTATATTTTAAATACTGAACAACCTAAAGAAAATTCAGTTCAAAGACTTTACATTACACTATAAAAATTACATATGAAACTGGTACTTCTTGAGGTAAACAAAACATGGTCTTTTACCCCACAACAATAAAAAAAAGTCGACACTTAAATGTATAAGTTAAAAATGACTGGAAAATCGGCATCAATGTTTTATTTTTACATCTTATATTTTTATCTTTATTTGTTGATATTTAAACAATTTTTAAAAAATTCTTCCCAAGTAAGTGGCATGTGGTCAATACAATTCTAACTACCTTATTGTAATTTAGTTAAAAGGACGGTTTGAAGAAGTTTTGGCCTATGAAAGTTTAGGTTATTGAAAAACATTAAAAGGTTTACCAACTTACAAAAAACATCACATTCTGTCCTGCTCCTATTCTACTAGGTGACCATATGTTGTTTGTTGAAAAACAAGGTAATAACAATTATATTTATCAAGTGTCGGGGTTATCTATGTGTCGACCAGTATATAAAAAAGGACAGACACATGTACGAGATATATATA